AATCCATACACCTGCACATTTCAGTGGTGAATGTAAGACTGACTACATGAAATCACCTGCTACCTGCCGTTCTTCCCAAGAGGCTCAGGTAAAACCTCACGAAGAAAGGCCGAATGCTCTGCGATGGCAGCCTGAGGAGGCGCTCGGCGCTTCGCTCGAATCTGATCGACGAAGGCACTTCATGGGACTCCATGGGGACTGGAACATTGACCGTCAGTAGCGTCCGACCGCTCCGTTCGTAGTATGGCCAGGAGCCCCTGGTACAGGTCCTTGCTCCGTTCGTTTTCGGCTGCCCTTTGTTCCGTTCGTAGCGAAGCTTGTTATTATATGGGTCAATTTGCCTACATCGACCTCGGGTCAACCACTCAATGTTCCTCCAAATATGCTGTTCGTCCCATCGAGTGCCTGGGCACATAACACACTAACAAACAAAACATGTTTTTCTCCATCACCAATGGAATACCCTACACCAGCGGAGCATTAATTTCTAGACACACCTTGGTCGACCACCCAACTCCAGACCCGTCTGGTTCACAGACTTGAGCAGCTGAACGGTCATGGAAAAAGGGAGGGGGCACATGAGAGCTCTGTGTCTCCATGGTGTCAACATGGATTTCGGTTGCGCAGCGCTGCGCGTTGGGTTGCGGACTGCCTAAGACAATGCCCCGGACCCGAGGAATGCATCAACATCACCGGCCTGGCCTGAGTCTTTCTATATTGGGATAGCATGGAATATAATAAGATCCACAAGGAAACGCTGTTTGGGTAGAGGACATCGACTTTGTTCCGTGGATCTTCAGATTTTCCTCAAGAACAACCTTGGTGAAATCGCTTTGGCATTTTTCTCCGGCCTCCTTTGACCGCAAGTACTCCTGCAAGCCTTGCAGCTCCTTCTGCAGTCGCATCTCCTCTCTTTGCAATGGCTCCCACTCCTCCCAAACCTTGGAGAAGCAGTCTTCACACAGGGTGTCTGAAGCCCCAAAACCATGGTGATCACCGCTATGGAACGAGCGATGATATGTTGGAGAGACTAGGTCATTGACTGTTTGACCCGTTCAATTGAAGTCATCTGATCATGCAAAATGGCCCAACGAAAGATCCTGCCCACTATAGCCTCACAACACGTCTTTCGATCCCCAGCTGTCTTGCGCCAAGCAGGGTGGTTTATGTGGCTTTGCATGGGGGTCATCGGCCGAGTGCAGAAAAGAAGCATCTTCGAGTGTGGGAGCTTGGGAAGGATGGATTCTGTGCGGTTTGGCCTTGTCTGCAGCAGCATCAGCAGCACGTAGCTGTGATTCATCCCGTCGTGGTGGCAGCGGCTTGTTGCCTGTGTAGATCGTTGGCTCCTAAGATTGCCCAAGAGACCTAGAATAAAAGCCACCGCATTACAGCATGCAGAATAGCAAATTAAGCTCTAAATTTACTGCCCTCTTATCATGTATGTTGCACCTCCACCAAAAATTTAGACAAATGCACCAAGGATGCACAAGGTATTGCGTGAAGGTTCCCCCAGATTCAGCACATCCCATTCCCCTTGCGTAGCAGTCAAAACCAGGGCTCGTAATCATCACCATACAGCGGCGCAAAGGCTTGAGGCCGTTGACGGTCCAGGAGCATGTGTGCTGAAGGTGTACGTCGCGCCACGACAGCTCTAGAGACCGGGCCTGGAGCCCATGGTGGACCTGCCCGAATCCGTCCATTCAGCAAGCGCCGCTCCTTCAACACCTCGCCATAGAACGAGTCTCACCAACTCAGAGAAAAAATTGGTCAAAACAATGTTTTGTTTTTGCGGTTTAAATAAAGACATCATATTCATATCCCTATGTTCTTACAACGGATGTCACAACGGGACAAGTCCAGACACGGAGTCTTACGATGGATGTGTCAACATCAAAACGAAACCCCTAAGACGGTTGATTTGTTGAAATCCATTCTTCATCACTCTTCCATTATATACTTGCATGTATACAGTCCCGCAAGCGGTTCCCAAAAACTCACATCTAGACAGACCACTATGCGCACTATGAGGAATGGATCCACTCTTCCGAGGGTTTTTCTCTGCGCTCCATCGAAGGAGGCTTTTGACATAAATGTTCCATGTGGCATCATGTAACGCCGTTGAAGACTTCCACCGAGCCACCTCCAGATCTGCTTGCTGCATCTTCTGCCGCGCTTCCCCTCGCCCCACGAATCCTTGCCATCCCTGCATGGGAGGCAAGAGAACTCGCTGAAGCTTATGGAGCAAGCCATTGTCACAAGAGGTCTCTCCGGAGCAACTGGCCGGCTGCTCTCCAGACCCCACAAGCTTCACACCCACCGCACGTGCACCACGCGGTACAAAGGCCAGCTGCATGTTCGAATGGAAGGTCTCCAGGGGAGCGCCCAACATTCGTAAGGCCCCTAAAGGCCAGCGGTCCAAGATCGCATGACCCGCCAGAGTTTCGGCCACCTGCCGTTTCGGTTCAGCAGCTTCCAAGGGAGAGAAGACGAGAGAAATCTAAAATATGAATCAGCTAATCAGCCCATGTGACTCCTTTCTTACCAACGGATCCGTAGGGCTCCAAGTACCTTCTGACAAGGTGTTTGGGCTGGTTTGGAGGATCCGAAGACCTTCGGAGATACTTGAAGGCCTACAACACGTACAACAAGTGTTCAAACCATGTCCCAAGATGTCCCAAGCAAGTTGACTTCGTCACAGCCTCCGGCATCCTGCAATAGAGCTCCAGTGTGGTTCTCTTCTTTTCCGCCGCCTTTCGAATGGCACTGTTCACTGGAACCAGAAGTGTCACTTGGCGCCCGGTACGTCGCCCGGCCAGGCGTTCCCGAAGCTCGTGGCAGCGCGTGCCTGGCCGCGCGGAATGGAGGATGGAGGTGGCATAGGACAAATCAACATCCTGCTCCAACTCTTCCAGCAAGGTCCGATGGACCATCATTCCAGCAAGGTGTGGACCAGTGCCATGGCAAGCGTGGGTCCTGGGTGTTGGGAAAAAAGGCAGCGCAGGAGTGCAGGAGCGTAGGTGGGAACTGCTGCAGTTGGGTGTTCTGGTTCATGCGTGGATCGGGCGAGGTTGTCTTTTTGAAGCCGTGCAAACAGGATCACATATTTGAGATCAAGATTGTTTCTAGAGGAATCAGTGCGTGTAGAAGGGCTGCGTAGGGTGTATGATTCTTGCAGGGGCGTCCATCCAATTCCTCCAAAGTTCATCAAGTCCGCGTTGTTGCGTGATTGAGCTAAAGCATATCGGAAATACAATTTGATCCAGTGTAACCCCACCAGATCCCACCACACAAAGGACTTGGTTGCTTCTCCTGGCATCGTCCAGGCACAGTAGAAGCAAACACAGTATTGCCATTGCGACCAACTAGAGTAATTTGATACATATTTGGTGTTGTCATCTTGTGAATTTCAAGATTCTGCTAGGTCATGATCCACATAGGGTGCGTTTCCATTTCTTATATTTCTTTGCTCAAATCCTATCCAGTCCACGGCTGATTCGGTTTATTATATAGATCATATAGAAGGTCATTGAGGTATTCCCACAGTCCTTTGCAAATAAATTGAGAAAAGTGTTTCTTCATTATGCATGTTCATTCCAACAAAATCCAACCATATATAATCATATACAGTATAATCAACCTAAAACAAAACCGAAGATGAAGTTAGTTGCATCCCGCCTCCCTTCTCCCAAACAGTCCGTCCTCCACGCAGTTGTTCTCCCGGTACCCCCTGGGGCCCCTGGGCCCTCGCACCACCGCAGTTTTGCTGCCCATGGGGCGAGGTGACATTGAGCTTCGCCGGCTTCGCGATGGACGAGGTCAAGGAGACCTGACATGACGGCGCCGCTCGCGGCGCGGTACTGGCAGAACGCGACATGGAGAGGGTGTCTGTCTAGGAGGCTTTTGTGAGATACTAGGGAGCAAGATGTCACGAAATCAACAAGATCCTCATGTACTTCTTCCCAGAGAGGTGAGGCCCCACCCTGAGAGAGGGGCAAAGAAAGCAGCTCTCCGTGCCATTTAGACACCATTTACAGTAGATCAAGCATGCTGAACAATCACTGCAGCTGCTTTCTGTTTAGAAGCTGCCAATCTTTCGTGGCATTCACGATCTGAGGACTGCATCGACCATCAACATCCGAAAACCGCGTGCCACATAGAATTGCACGCTGCACATCCGTCATGGTCCACATGGCAGTGCAAAAAAGTAACGGCCCCCTCCCCCCACTTTTGCGGCCTTGATCAGGTCATCCTGATAGGGCGCAAGTAAGGCGCGGTTGTGTAAAAGCCTCATAGCAAAACCATGCTTTTGGGGTCAGGCTAAACTAGTGCTTTCACACGTGACGACCATTGAATACTTTATTTTTCTCGGTGCTTGGAATCCGGTGTCGTCAGTAGAACATCGAAAAAAGACATCGACCGAAGACCGTGAAGAGTCCGGTGGGGCTTTTGATGAAAGAAATGCGAACTGGTCCACCATGCAGACCCAAAGCTCTGAAGCATGGGGGGAAATTAAGTGAAGGCGCATGATTCTTCAGGCGTGGTGTTCTCTTCCGCCAGGCAGGCCAATGGTGGTACCAGAATGAGTCGCTTTCGCAGTAAATGGAGGCTTTGGAGAAGCGCCAGGAAGAACTGGACGTTTGTCTTTCAGAAACCGCATCTTTTCGTTTGCCGAAAGGTGCAAGTCTGGTTGGGGGCGGGTGCAAGATGCGTGAGACAGATTCTGAAACAGAACAGTGACCTGGTGTTCAGAAATCATGGACCCCCACAGGGTGAGCCAAATCCGAACATCACCTGGGCGCCTGGGAGTTGACCGCTCATGATGTCTGGCTTGTGTTCGTTCCAGGGGGGTCCTCTGTCCCCAGGAGTCCTGTCCCCCCCACGGCTGTCACCGGTCCGGTCCGGTACCGATCTCTGAGAGCCTTGCTCTTCCAAAACGGCGGGTCCACATGGAAACACATGTGTCACACACACACACACACACACACACTGTAAGGTAGATCTATAAATCACAACGATATACACAGCGATCCTGCTTCGACCATGGATTTTGGGCGCATTCCTTGAAAGCAGCTTCAACTTTGCAGCCATTTGCAGCTCTGTTCGCTGAAGAACTGCTGTCCGAAGCAGGCCTCGCAAGCATGACACGAGAACAATCACTGAAAAACGGTTGAAGGTTGGAGAGTTGTTGTTCAATGTTGTTCAGCGTTTTTCTCTAGTCCTGGTGGGCTCTTTGTGTTTCCGATTCCCGAAGCCACCCCATGACATCCCCCCCCTACCCCAGCATCGCCTTCACCATGGAGCCTTGTTTCTCATCTAATCGGCTCCAGGAGGCCGTCACCTACGAAGCAACGAGGCGTTGTAGCATCGCTCTCCGGGGGGGAGGTCTCGCTGCAAAGCTCGATGGAAAGCACCACCACCCCACACGAATTACTAGCAGAAAGCACCAGCCTGTTGGACAACACATCTCTTGATTTCTGGATGGGACTTTTCTGGTGGCGAGCTCCGCTTTCAAGTAGCGGATCAATCGATCCTTTGTTGACCCGAGAAAGCGGTGATCGATCCAGCCGAGAGTCTCTGCCCGGATTGAACCATCCTCGAAACTGAAGTCCTCTGGGTACATCCCCGAGTTCGGTGCTTTAGTGGACCCCTTGGACACCCATCTATACCCATTCGGTTCATGTAGCAGCCTGAGCAATCCTAACCTAATGTCAGTTTACTATAGCTAGAAATCACAAAGCTCCTGTCAATCTAGCAAACATCGAGTTTAGCGTCAGACGTCTTAGACTACCCCCACGCAACTTCATTGCTCAACCAGAAAACCAATATCTAAATCTAATTATAGCAGAATCACTAAATTCGGACTTCCCTAAGGAACCACCATTTTTGGCACATCTGGATCGACCCTTTCAAAGACGGAAACTGAACCAATGACCACCTACTGGTCAAGCATGCACTTTCAATCCTCTGATGTATTTCTTTTGGCCCCTTGAAGCGAAGACATATCCAGGGCTGTGAACTCAAGACGGGACCTTCGACGGACCGAGTTCCACTTTTTCCGAGCGCCACTTCTCTAAGCGATTCATGCGAGGGCAGTGGCCTTTAGAGGTTCTGGGCGGTGTTTTCGTTCACTCCTTTCCCAAGGCTCCCTCCAACCACAACTGGAGCTGCACAAAGTAGCAGGCAGTTGCTGCAGCTTCAACAGGCCCATGAATCTCCAGAATGGCCGGAGCACCAGCTTCACTGGGCCGCGCCAACAGTTTCACTCCAGCCTTGCTTGCAATCCCTGCTTCACTTGCCAGGTACTTGGCAATTCGAAAGTCCCTTACCGCGATCAACATGGGCTGCGCACCCAGAGCACTCCCACCATCAGCCCGGTAGAGGACGTCTCGGTAGGCGTCAGCCGCCCGAGGAAACGTGTCGGCAGTGGTTGGTGGCATCGCTTCGCGAGGCCGTGCCGGCGGGAACACGCTCTCCGTGCGGCCGGCCATCGCGTTCTCGATGCGAGGTCCCGCAGGTCCCTTGCCTGACCGAAAGGCAGGAGTCTCCAAAACAGAATTCCAAACGGAAGAATGACGCATTTCAGATCATGAGATGTCTGCATGTTCAAAAAATCCATAATTCTCCCCTAAGAACTTCGAACGAAAGCCACCGAATTTGACACATCCAACACGGATTCTCCAGTCTCATCCAACACGGATTGGAGTCAGTTGAACAACTGCTTCCTTGTGAGTTCTGAACTTCAGGTCTCCTCTCCAGCTCCGCCGCGCCTTTGCCTTTGCCTTTCGGCCGCTCCTCCTCCTCCGTCCGTTCGCTCCGGGGAGGAGGCTCCGGCAGCTCCCAGGGCTCCAGTGCCTTGTGCAGCCGCCAGCCACACAAGGCCACAGCCTCCTCTGGGCCGCTCAGCCCAATCGACCGTAGCAACGCCTAGGCCGCAGAACGGATGCCGAAACGGACCCTCTCAGTGTTCATTCCCTAAACGAGTTGCACCAAAAAAATCCAAACAGTATATCTTTGGGAGAACCACCCCTCCACTGGAATATCACCCCTCCAAAGATTTATACAGTACACACACAACAGTTCATCATATTCAAGCAACAGTATATCACCCCTCCAGTTGTGGAATTCTCGAATTGTGTTAAATGAAGACTTCCAAAAGTCGCGGGACGGGAAGGTGGTGGAATGACATCATACAGCGGTGTACACACATCCGGACGCGTCAAGGAGCCCACATGCTCCAAGACCATGCTCCAAGTCTCAAAGTGTCCAGAAACTAGACCAAGCTGCAGACCTGCATCAACTAAAAATCTAGACTGGAACATTGCTACTCCAACATCCACCAGTTCAAGCCACGAATCACGAAATCACGTCACGTCACGGCGATCAACCTGTGGCCGCTTCATTGGACCCATCGCGCACAGTACATGGATGGTCCTCCCGATAAAAAAAATCGCAGGAAGAAGAAGGAAACACTTCCGCAAACACCGTATGAGTCCAAGGTGAAAACACAAACACCCATGCCGGCTGTCCCTGTGCTTGCCGAGGTGCTGGCTGCCCAAAGACCACCTGTGGCTCTTGGATATCCAGCGTGACTTCCGGAAAGCTCTGTCTCTCTGTCTCCAGCTGCGGTGCAAGCTCGTCCCAGCGGTCGCCTGAGCGAGCTTGAATCTTCTACAGGAACTTCACCAATCCGATACATTGGTGGACTGGTTAGCTGCGTTGATGTGATACACAGCATCTCTCTCTCTCTCTCTCTATCTCTCCCTTCACGTTTTTTCCAGCCAGGTTCACACAAAATTTGACCCATGCCCACCTGGGAAAAGTAGCCGCACCTGAACTTGCCGCAGGCCCTCTGGGGTGCGCTCCTGCACTTTTGACAGTGGAGGACCAGCCGCACTAAAAAGTGATCAACAATGATCAACATATGCTGCTTGAACAACCCATGTATGGAACAGTTGACTACATTGGGATGAGTTTCAAGCTTAAAACCTTTCAAGGGTCAATAAAAATGTATAAATAAAAATTCCATAGTTACATGGATGGCCTGGGATACATACCTGAATATACCTGAACTAAACCAATGGGTGGCTCTTTGCTGGGCATGTTGGGGCTGGGTGGGTTGCCCCAAAGCGAGAAACAATGCATCATATAGACTCGTGTGTTCAATAGCGACAAGCGACAACGCCAAACGAATGGTCAAACATGAGTTCATGGTTGGTGGGTAGGTGGGAGCAAATCCAATCATAGTTTCAAATAAACAGACTCTATGGCTTTACGACAGGCTATAGATTGTAGACGGCGATCTGTCTGGTCTCAAGCGAGTCTTGGCAAGTCTATGCCTCTGCCGTGCAACGTGCTTTCCTCCTTGAAATCTTCCGATTTGCAACCTGTGTGCACGAGGGTTCTCGAACGAGCCTTGCGAGCATTGACGTAAGGGATCGTAGGGGGACACAAGTTGGACCGGGGTCATTCAATTGCAATTGAAACATGGGTTGAAACTCACCTTCCCTAAGCGAAGTTCTCAAAAAAGGTCTAAGAAGTCTACCCATATAGCTCTGTGAGCCAGCCAAGAAGAAGGAAAACAAGCAAAAAGTCCACTCACAGAACCACCCACTGTTTGGACGCAAATCCATCAAATCTCCCCTGACCGACTCACGGTCCTGTGCGCTGTCCTCCTCCCGCGCGATGGCAGCGTTGCGTGTCGCCAAGTCACCCAAGACCAGGCGCAAGGCCCGCAGCCGTTGTGCCAAGGTCGCTTGCGCAGCCGAGCAAATTCCTGAGGTGGAGAGGCAGAGAGGTGGAGAGGCACCCCACATTCAACCCGGCAAAAGAAGGTGGAGGGCGGGGGTGCGGGGTTGGTTGATGTTGGAGGTGCAAACATGTTCCGAAGTCCCTGGCCGACCAGAAATCGCAGGGATCAAATACGACAGTATAGTTCTACAATGTTATACAGATTGTATACAGTATAACGTCGAGAACAGGTCAATTGTTGAGCTCTTAGGATCGGCTAGTCCTTTGCCGGAGACCTGATGGAGGTGCTGCCAGCATTGGCATTTATGTGCGAATGAGTATCAATCTTTGTGCGCTGATGTGTGCTGGTGTTTGCATACATCTACTTTAGATCAAAGCTGAGAGAGCCTTCCGTTGCTTGTCTTGGGCCAGTCCCCACTCTCGACATGCAGTTTTTCATATACCCCGCCAAAAGCTGCACCTGTTAAACATGTAATCTGAATCTCTGCAGGCAGATCAACTGCTGCCGTTGTTTACATGTAAAGAAGTGCTGCCCCCCCAAAAAACATCCAAAACGATCCAAAAACGCTCTTTGGTTTCCAGGCTCGCTCAGCCGGATCAAAAGGAGGACTCTCCGCATCATCGATGGAGACCAACGCCAGGTCCCTGCGCGGGAGATCGGAGATCCCGACCCGGTTGGATGAGAAGCCCCAACCGAAAACCAACGAAGTGAGCTTTTTGGAGTGCCTCTTTGTAACCTTGGTTTGAGACCAAAGTGACCTCAAACCAAGGGATCAAGCTCGGTCACTTGGAAGGTCCAGGTTATCATGGCTTGCTCTCTGGTTCTGCTCTCTCTCTCTCTCTCTCTGCGCAGGCAATTTGCAGCCTAGCAGCCTAGCACTCTTACTGCCTCAACAAGGCACCCTTAACGTCGCCTAACGGGGCTAGCGGCTAGGGACCTGGGCAATGCCACTCTTCGCGGTTGATTGATGTCTGTCCTGATAGTATCCCCTCCCCAAACGCAAAAACAACAGGCCACCTGCTAATTGTCTCATCCCATGTGGGCGAGGATGCCGGTAATTATCCCTCCATCTTCCTCCATCCAAATCCTTTGGCTTCCATTTTGAGCTTCGCCTGCCCTCCTCACATCACCATCCCACGCTTTCGCGCCTTAAGCGGGCCACATTGGCGCCCAGTTTCCCCACCACCGTGGCCGCCTCACCTTGCCCCAGCAACACTCGCAATGGCACCTCACCGCGCCCTGCGGCCTGACCACAACGGCGTGCCAACGAGGTTTCGGCACCCACGCCCGGCGATCCGCCCTCCGCTGGGAACAGTCCCATCCGCTGCGCTAGATGACCCGGCCTGGAACACGGCCCCTGGAAAGACCATGTTCCTTTACAACCAGAGCATGGTCCACTTCTGTTTCAGTAAGGGTCTGTGGCTTCCGGCCGACGCCGAAAAAGGTGAAAACCTCGCTGAACGTCTTCACCTGCACAGCTAGATTGACTTCGCCTCAGTTCAAGAATCAACACCTATACAGTCTGGGCCTATCCCATTAGCAAACAGGAGTGGATGATGCTGATGCGGTCCGATCCTCGCAAGAAGTGC